GAAAGATTACAGTAGTCTCGCGTTTGTGGTTAAGAAATGCACGAAACTGGAGCAGAATGATGCTGTGCTGACCGCTGATCTATCAAACTCGATTCGAGGACGCCGATCGAGACCGTATTGTGGTCGATCCACCGGGATGAAATTAACATCTGCGACTTTCGATGACAGCGAACTCGGATCGTTCGAGCGTACCCATTTAACCAGGGCGCATGGATAAATCCCAGATCGTTTCGTTTTCGCTGGAAATGATACCACGCCCGCATGTTCCGCGGAATATCGAAAGAAATACCGTTCACAGAGTGTGACTCGACATTTTTAATTTCCCCATTTACATACGCATTATACTTTATAATACAAATACTATTTTTACTGAAGTGTACTGAATTTCGAAGTAAAGTAAACCGATGTACGGCGGTGGTAATGAGAGAAACGCGAGGATCGTCGCGTTTCATTTTCACTTGCCTGTTGCTATGCTTTCGAGGCCTGGCCGTTCTCGTTCCGGCTTCGGCGGCGGAACAAGAGGTTTCCTCGGTGAAACGTAGCGAGCAGGGAATTGATCGATATCTACGTAGCTCGGGAACTTCGTGCACCGCGCGTGACAGTTTACAGTTTCGTAGCTGGCCACGCGTCGGATACGCACACGCGTCCTCTGACCTAGGTCTAAAAAAAGAACTGTACATCGATTCACCGTTGTCAGCTTTTATTTCAATCTCGTTAATTTCGTACAAGCGAAAGTGGACGGTCCTTGTGAACTCGGTCGACAAGGCAGCTCCGTGGGACAATTAGAAAATAGGGCATCTGCGGGTGAATCACTAAACCGATACCAGATGCGTTCCTTGTTCAACCGAGCTCGGGTTTGGAGCGAGCGGGCAAAGTCATCGCGGGGGCAATGGAACGAACGAACGAACGAACGAACCGCTGCCGCCGCTCCGGGCGACAAGTAGGCGACTGGAACAAGATGGAAAGACGCGTAACCCACTTAAAGGAAACCGCGAGACGAACGAGTAAACGCCGTGAAAACGGCGGTTTGCGAACGCGTTTAACGCAGCTCGAACGTGCTCTATCTCGCGGTTAGGTGTTCGTCGCGGTTACGTCGCGATTATTCTATTCAAATGGAAGATACTTAAGTATGTACAAGCGTACCGCGCGTACTTGAGCGATACACGGTGTTCGAAGTAGGTCGATTCGATTTTCAGAAGGAGCGCGACCACTTGGTCACATGCCACTTTCACTGATTAGCTTCTACGCTACCGAACGTATCTTTACGTCGCATGCAATCAACGCGCGGATTATTAAATCCCGTCATTTTATCCACGATTAACTATCAAGTTGCTACGTCGTACGTTTTATCGACATTAAAGTAAAATCCAATTAAAATACCGTTTTTGTATTTAATTGGATAAAACTCGTGGCATGGAATAATAAGAGGTTCGATCGAGCAAATGTAAACAAAGGAAGAAATGAGTCTATGGAAATAATAATAATTTGTGAATTGTCACTTCGTTTTAATATTAATTTTATTATTAATACATCCATTTGTTGTATTGATCAATTAATAAATCCATTTTATGACTAATTCAGAAACGCGAGGAAAATGGTATATCTCCTGACTATCTCATTGGGGGCAGACGAAAACTGCTCGGAGCATCAACGCGGTGTTCTCATAAATTTATGCACTCTTCATCCCGCGATGAAATTTTGCAAACGAGCTCCTCGGAATTTCACTTCCTTTCGGAAAGAGAGAAAACAAATTGCTTTCTAACGACGAGCGAAATAATTTCGAGCGCGGCAGAATATGATTTCTAACTCGTACGTCTTTCTCCCGACGAGATTGACACTCGATTTTCTAACGACGTCACGGCGACGGCCGTTACCAGCGAGCAATTCCGATCGTGAAAACAGGTGTTCGCGCGCGTGCTACACGCCGCGAGCTTCTGTTCACGGGGACACGCGGTCTTCTATCGCGGGAGAAAGTAAAAGGGACAATAGAAATTCATCGCGCGCGTCTACGAAGGCGGACAGAACACGATACCAGCTGTTTATTGTCTCACATCTCGACACTTTTCCCAGCCTTGTAATTAGACTGCAGATTTTATGCATTTATAGGAAAACTGACGTCTGTAGAAAATCTATTGGATTGGCAAATAAGTTCGTTCGGTTTTTTTAAATGACGAATGAAACAATTTCTATGACAGACGCCTAGCAATCTCTCACACCGATTGAAATAGATTTCTATCGATGCTCTTCACGTCGTTTGAATTAATCTACTTAAATCGAACGAATTTATTTGCCAACCCAACAAAATGTGCTTATAATGCCCAAAGACATATGGAACATCAAAAGAGAAATGCATTTCATTATTCTGCGGATTTTTATGAAAAATAACACAATTGTAATGTCGATTTAGAAAAGCAATTACCCATTAAAAATAATATATATTTCACTTTCACTATAAACGCACTCAATAGATACAATTTTTTTTGTAAATATTGAAAGAGAATCGAAAGTGTCATTTTATAAATCAACATAACAAACGTTCCGTTTTGCATAAAAATTCACGGTTTATCTATTACGACTCGATGTAGCCCATCGACGAGGACGTCGCTTCGTAGAGTCTTAATAGCTTCCGGTGATGTTCCGTCTAGCGATCGGCCGTTCCGACGATTACGCGCCTCGATTTTATCGTGATAAATTCATTCGCGTTACAGATTCGAACCCGCGAACCGGTTTCGCCAACAATGCGTAACGAGCATCGGGCGTAGGCAGCGACGACGATTTGTACGACCGCTCGTTGGAGACGATCCGTAAACTTTGATTTTGATTTATGCGAAATTAAACACTAATACGTCACGCAGTCCCTTCTTAACAATAAAATATTAATATACAAATTACGATATTATTTCATTTCTCATGAGCGATCATGTTTTTCAGTTAAATTAGATTTCATTTTGTAAAATAAGTGTTCACTCGTCGAGATGTAGAAATGCATTGAATTAGAAAACAGAGAAGCACGTTTTAACATGAATATTCTATTTGCCAGAGAAGATAATTATTTAGAACCGTTCCGATTCCCATTAGCCGACGCCGTTTTGTTATTCGAGGTGCGCGACCGAATCACTGAAATTAAGCCACTTTCGTTTCGAGCCGGCGGAATACTAAGCGACAAAGTGGTAATTCGTGTAATAACATCCCAATCCGTGTCGACCACGGAAAAGAAGAAGAAGAAGAGGAAGAAAAAAAATTATAGGAAGCTCGCCTCGTCTTTAAACGAGAGCGGGGCCGATTCGTAAGCCAAGTAGGTCGAATCTACATTTAGAAGCTAACAGATTCAGTTAATAAGTGTTCTAATTGCGCGATGGCTAATTGCATCTGGTCAAAAAATTTACGATCCACGCGTTCCGCGTTTATATAAGGTTTCTAGTACGGAGGAAAACGAAACGTAGGAAATACTTACGGGCGCTTTAAAAACCATTAAATCGATCGAACGATCTCTATAAAACATGATTGTACTACCTCGAGGCGGATATTCTGGGAAAAAATTCAAATAACCCAATTCGTGGCATTCCCGATGTCCCCAGTTTGTTCCCCTCGCGAGAGTTCTGCACGTAAGAAAGTATCCGCGGAACACCGATCGACAGATGTTCCGACCAGTTCTTACGAACAAAAAACGTCTAACCCGGATTACAATAACGTCCAATACGTGCGATATTCCCTATACCTCGAACGATCGTGCGAATACATAAGCAATAGTAAAAGAGTGAAAACAAATTGAAAATAAATATGAATTATTGACTATTAATTCGACGCATTAAATAATGGTTGACAATAATAATGGAAGATATAAGGTAAGACTCACTGATTTAAAGCGGAATCTCTCACGTTCCACGGAGCCGAGCGTTCACCCTCGGTTCATTCTCGAGGAGCAGCCATAGCTTTGGATCCTTGGTCCACCGCGAGGGCAAAAACTGTTTGGTCCCCGGCAGCCAGCCACGGGTCCACGGCTCTCCGAACCGATCACGATCACATATGCCACTGAACTGCTAATATAATCAACCCCCGTTCCGTAGTTTTCGGTCCTGCGGTGAAATCCAGTCACCGGCCGAATGATTCACCGGCCGGTTTTCCACGGAAGTCGACTCACCGCTTCGACGCGATTAGGCGATGGATCATCCGCGATCGCGATCACGGTCACGGATCCCGAGTGAGACGCCCCGACCGAATGGTAGCCAAGGATGTCGGATCACGATCGACGGGGACGGAGGCCACTTCACGTCGGGGTTCCACGTGCACGCGGTTCGACTACCGGTCGCGCTTTGAGGATCGGCTGATTGCGTCCAGCGTGGACGAGGAACTCGCGGATCGGATGAGAGTAGGGAGCCCGCGTGCCATGCCGCTCGGCTCCGAATCGAGCGCGAACCACGTGTCATCTCCCGCCAGGAACACGCGCACCACGATCGCGCCGATTTCACGCCACTCAATGTCGTTCGCTGGTTGCATCGTTTGTTACTTACCCAGCTCGATTTTTTTTATACCGTTAAACACTAACCCGTTCTAATAATGATTTTTAGAGTTTGAGAGTTCGCGTCTTCACGTACGATTAAAAAAGTATTAAGAATCACAGAACCGGGAGAAAAACGTATACCAACGACTTCAAAGACCTCGGTTCACATCGAATACGAAATAAAACGTAAGCACAGTGGATAATTCACGTGACCCGGAGCGATCGCAACGGAAATAAGAATACTTATACAAAAATGATTTATTTTACGATGATTGTTATTAAAACAGTTCTCAGTTAAATTGAAGATTGATTAAGTATCGACAGTATTATTGAAGGATGAAAAATTGAATTGGCGATTAGTATGCAACCGAAGTCCACGTCGAAGACGTTTTACGAGAGAGGGAGAAGGAGAGAAGCGGAGAAAGGGTTAGGCCGTTATACGACGCAAGGAGAAGATCGTAGATATACATTTAAGTATGTAAGGTGCACGTATACGTACGTAACTGGCTACCAGTACGGTCCCTCTCGTCTTTGCTTTGGGCGAAGTGGGTCGACCTCTTGGAGAACAGTCGAGGCCGACGGCCTCCTCTCTCGGTGGCTACCGCGTCCGGTCTAGTCCTTGCGTCTCCTCCCTCTGTGGACATCGCCTCGGAATTTCCTCTGATAAATCCCATTCGGCAGAACCATAAATTATCCACATGGACACTTTAAAAACTGATTGCGTCACAACGAGTGTTTGTTGTTAAACACGTTTGATCGTTGGAAATGAAAATTGTTGGCATCGGAAGATGCAGGTTAAGCAACATTTTCTCTTTTGACTCGAAGTGTCATTTTATTTCCATTAATCAATTGCAAACGAGCTTGGCTATATAAAAGCTAGTCTCTTATACACTTCGCTTAAACGACAATCATTATCTCTTGTATCCCGCATCGTGAAATCGAAAGAGGCACACGAAGAGTTCGAAAGCGATCGCGCTAAACCTGAATAAGAGGACGGAAGAGAGGAGGATCGGGAAACGGTCGGCACGCGCGCGAAATTGCGAGCCTGTCCGCGACGCGTATCATTAATATTCGCGTTGTGCACCGGCTGATTCCTGCATGACGGTTTCCGAGTTGAAATATTATCGCCACGGTCGTAGACAAATCGTATTACTGGTCGTGCCTCTCGACGCCACTCTCACCGGTTTTTGAAGTTTTCGCTCTAGTTCCTAGGCCTAACGAGTACCGCGTCTTCCGCCAACCGGCAACAAAAATTTCCTACGCAATCACGTTCCCGTTTAATTAATCCCTCCGTAGATCCGTCGATAATTCGTTTTATCCAAAATAGAATCAAAGTTCAACAGTCCGCGCGACGAAATGCGCGATCTTTCCTTTGCTCGTTCCTTTAAACGGGAGAATCACAGCTGTGGCTGCGAGATAACAGCGTTTGAATATTTACTTTCCACGAAATTGCCCGAGCAACTTAATTACTCCGGCCGAGCGAGCACCGCGGTTTATGTAGGAGTCGGGAGAAAATGTAAAACGAGTGACGTTGAACCAAATTAAAATGAATGGTTGACAAGCGAAGGAATACCAGAATGAACAGTGCACCGGACGTGGCGTGGCGTTAAGGATGCTCGCGAGCGGGTAATGCACCAAGTATCGAGCACACAAACTCTCGCATTTCCTTTCCCGGCTCGTAACTAGCGCGCACTCTGCGTCGCAAAAATAATAGTCATCTACATATGCACGCGTTGTTAGCGAACGCTGCTCGCCGGTCATTTGGCACAGGCGAAACTCTTTCGTTTCGATATCCAGTCTCTATCAATTAGCTGAGAAGGATTAACATCCGCCAGACGAGAATATTCAAAGCGATCCGATCGTTTTTAACCTGTTGATAATTACACTGTCACGGGGGGGTTAACGAGATAAAACGGTAAAGTCGTTGAACAAAGACCGCGTCCCGTCGAGGTATAACGAACCACTCGTTAGCTCGTTACCGCTTAGTTTCCGTCATCGCAGTTTATAGATTTCTCGTCGCGGGTTTTGATTTTATCCGCGGCTTTTGCCAGCCCGGCGATAACTCGGCGACCCGGTGAAAATCGCGTTAATTAAACCCGCTGCCTTTGTATTAAACGCGTCCACTAATTGCAAGCGCGTGAGCCCGAGATATACGGCGATGAGCTAGATACCCGGACGGAGCGAGAGAGACGCGTTATAGGAAGCTCGCGTGGCGTATAAAAGTACGGCGATTCAGAGTGGAAATGCCACTGGTAAACGTCTAATGAAACCGAGATTTTTTCCTTCAGGTGGTAAATGGGTAATTGACACGATTAATTAACCCCTTTTCCGTGCTTCTTCGCTCTCTGTTCCGCGTCGCGTCACCGAGCCACGCCGCCGCCGCCGCCGAGCCGTTCCCCACCACAGTTTCACTTGTAATCTCCTATTATTATCTGACCGTAATAGAAACCTGTTGCGACTCGAATTATCAATATTCACGTTTAAAAGCTTACGACGTGTTCCGCGCCCCGCCCGTCCGCATGACTTCTCTTATTTGTCACGGTGACACGAAAGTAACGGTTTGTATCGACACACTGAAAATTCTCTCATTACTCTATTCCATATTAAAAAAAAAAAGATCTCCACTCTAGTTTTGTATTTTCACCTATGCGTTTCTCCGGTTAATGAAAAGAAGCGAGGTTGTAAAATCTGGAGGAGAATCGAAAACACGGCTGGCCGAGATGCATTTTCTTTTCACGGTACACTTGCGTCGCGCAAGTGCATCGCGGCCGTTGCCGATTCCATTGTTTCCAGTCGGACAGCACCAGGGGCCTGACAGGACTCGGTTGAAAAAGGAATTTCTCCTCAGCGATCGCTTTCTTTTTTTTCCGCCCGTGCGACCACACGCAATCGGCGACGCCGAAAATCCGCCGAGAGGGTCACACGAGCAACGCGATGTCCCTCCGCGAAATTACACCGACTCGATCCGTGCCTGTCGGATTAGAGAACTGTAATCCTCTCGAGCGTCGAACGGACGATCACGCGACGCGCCTTTTTCATGTATCGCGTGCAATTACGCGTCCTCTCGAAGATTCACGGGGATTAAATTGGATTCGACGTTCGAGTGACTCATTTTTCCTAAAACGAGGCGCATAAAGCAGTTTCAGGAAAATGCTACGTTCCAACGCGTCTCGTCACGTAGGCAGTTTCAGGAAAGGACGAATTCCAGGAACGATCCAGGACCGGTGCCAGGGAAATAACAGTCCCCCACGGACCTTGCTAACACCGAAATACCCCTTTGACACGAATGCAACGGTTCTATCTACCCCGTCCTATGTCATCCGAGTCGATTCCCAGCGACGATCTCCCGACACAAAGGCACGCGCGCATTCCAAGATCGATCTCCGGTGCGACCTTAATTCTCGGCGCATATACTTACTATCGTACTCGGTCCCGTCGCGTGGTAATTGTATCACGCGAAATCCGGCCTTAATGTTAGAACATAAATCGCGCGGAGAGGCAATCTTCGCTTTTGCATACGCTTAAAATACATAGAGAGGAAAGTCCCTCTGCGGGGGACCGGCCGGGCTCATTTCGAATGCGCCCGGAACCCGCGTGATGCACGCACTGGGCCCCGATTACCCCGAACCGGAATTCATCGTGCCTCGGGATCGAATCACTTAAGCTGCGTCTACACTAGGAAATCAAATTGTCTCAAGCTGAGTAACACAACGTATTATCGTATATTATACAGCTTAGTTAGAAGACGTGCTGGGAAAACGTGTTATATGAATCTTATACGCTTTGAAGAAGGAATATACGTAGTAGACTGTGTCGTAAAGTAAACGTCACCGAAAATTATAACGCGACGTTCATAAAAAGCTGCTTCACTTCTTCTTTTTCACAGTTTTTCTATACGCGTAGTATATCCGGATTTGAAGTCCCATCTACCTACAGGAATGCTCGAAATTGCCGGCTTAGTCCGGCCTTGTTAATCGCGGCTCGTTATAAGAGCAAATAAGACGAAAGGAGGACCGCTTGGTTGTTGCATCCTGCGGGACACGCGTGTTCGAGGTGGTCCCGAAGTACATAATTCCAGCGGAAAAAAGAAATAATTTAACGGCGGTAGGCCTTCTGCTCGGTTCTTATGGGCTCGTTCGCGACGTTGCGTGTTAGATGAAATTTTAATTAGACTCCGACCCGGTTCGGGGCTCGCGTAAGGGCCTGCTAATTGCGCGTGTGTTGCCACGACGATACGAGATGCACGATGAGAGCCGCGGGAAGCTTCCTCGAGCCACCAGACTGACAAAGTGCCAAGGGCTTTCGAGTAGCCGGGTTCCCCGACTATACGTATAGATCTATATATTTCTGATACCGTACAAAAGAATTAATTAAGACGATGGTTATTGGGAAACGCTCGACGTGTACTCGTATCGCCGATAAAACTGTATCAGGAATTAGGATCGATATTCGTTCTGGGAGAAACCGAGTGCAATCGTACAACTTTTTCCACTGAATATTTCAAGAAGGCGACCTTGATCGTCGAAAGGAAACTGGCACGAGGCACAATTTCGTTTGGTCCTTTCGTGCCGAATTCCCGTGGCGTGTGTGCGCCCCTAATTGACGCGAGCGTACCGATGCCAGGTTTACGACCGACTAAAGAGGGATTTCCACGCCGGTTTATTGGCCGAAAGCCAGTCGAGTGGCTCCCTTTACCTTTACGGAACCGGTGCTGGTGGTCACGCATGATTCTTACGCCTCCCTTTCCCTTCGCGACGACTCCACGTTCCCCTTTGTGCTCGCGTTTTCGTCTCCCCGTCGACGCAACTGGGTCACTTGGTCCACGGCCGAGAGACAACGGCTCGACGGTCAATTGAATTTATTTGCTCAGCTCGATGCATCTCGGGTAATTGAGCCCGATAGCGATCGAGAGTCCTCTTACGCTCGCCTTCCCTTGCTTCGCTCTCTTCCGCCGTTCGACCGTTTCCACCTTCTGGCTTTAAGAAAGGCTTCTTGTCAAACAGCTAAAACTGTTCAATTTAATATTCTGTAATATTCACTTCCTTATCCTGTTGTCCTTTCTAACGATCGTCCGATAACGGGCACACGCTCGCAAAAGTAGAAACGTATGCACATAATGCATATTTCACACCAGACAAAAGTAACAAGCGTTACAATAGCGTGGAATAATAAGCAGTGCAAGCGTGACAGGAGAAAGACAAACGGATCGGTGAACATTCAGATTTCTCTCCTGTCGTTCTCGTAACACTTCTGTAAACCAATAAACTCCGTAAAACGGTGTCACCGACAGCAACCAATCTCCGTCATTATTATTATTCCGCGACTAGACAGTCAATTATGCGCGTTACTCAATGACAGTTACGTTAGTGACGTTATAAGGAGACGGCGTAACATTGTTAGGTAAGGAACAGTAGATAGGAAGATGCTGAAACGCGCTAGGGAAATGACTGGACCCGTTGCAGGCTCTCTCCTCTTAATCATCGATCGGAGATATAAATTTATGTTTCACAATCAATTTCTAGATTGCAATTATTTAATAACGGGCGGACACTCGCGGTCGAGTGAACGTCTGGGTATTTTCCAGGCGACCGAGGAGAGTCCGGGCGCTGTGAGAGGAAGCAATTTCCCGGGGGCTAGCATGCCGAGAGGCCATACGTTACAGGGAGCCGGGAGAGGATCGAGAACCACTATCCAGCATCGATAACGTCCACGCATTCCTGAAACGTGTCGCAGAAGACGCGGAGAAAAAGCGGCGGCAGCACGCGATAACGGTTGCCGGGATCTTTGTCGTGTCACTGGGTCGCAATACACATTTTCTAGCGGCATTTTCTGGCCCCGCTTCTCTCGCCGCCCGCCGTCCTACCCGGCCGCTAGAGAACGCGCCGGAATCGTAATAAAATACGAGACGGGCAACGTTTCCCAGCGGGGATACTAATTCCGTTGCGTCTGCCACGGGGAAAGATTCGTTTCCTCCAGCAGCGTCGCAAACGAATCGATGGTCGCTGAAGAACGCTGCACCGTATTTAATAAGAGATAAATGGAATCGAGTTTAAGAGGTTCATTCATCCCCCGAGAAGGAGGTCCGCGCAGCTTCCGTTATTTACCGGGAGCATTTCGACACGCAATTAACGAAATCTGCCGGTGACGAATTCTCGGAGGAACCGACGCGGCCGTGGACCGCGAGACGCAATTAACGTGACCGCGCTCGGATTTATCATCTCGGGGCCAATTAAAAAAGTGGGAAACGAGAGAACGTTCCGCTCCTCCGTTCCGTTCTGTAAACCCGCGTTGGCCCAGTAAACATTTCTCCCCGAAACGTTCGGCTGTAAAATCGCCGTTCATTCCACCGGGGCCTGGCACCGCTCCGCGCTGTCTTCTCCCCGGCTTCGAATCCCTCGATTTATCTCGTCCCCGGCCGCGGGAACTGTCCGCGCGCCTCGATATATTCGCGAGCTTAAGCCTCGATCCTCGACCGAGATACGAACGCACTCCGACATTTTTCCCCCCTTTATTCCATGTTACTGCTGCACGTGTTGCCAATTTCACGAACGTTTCGTTGTCCCCGCCGCAAGGCGATTGTCACAGTCCGTTCAACCGACAGGACAATTAATCTCGAAGATGACTCGTTTCCTAAAATTACTTACTATTGCGCAACGGTGTAATTTGAAGAGCCACGAGATCGAAAAATGGAGAGTAGAGGATGAAAGTGTCGGTTCGCGGGACACGCAGTTTCGTAATAGCACGTGTGTCGCGTTGAATGGGAAGAGGAAGCGCGGAAGAAAACAGCAGAAGGAAGCCGGTCGGTCTATTGTTCTTTGACGCTCGGTCCGCACTAGCTTCACAGAACGTTGATACAATCGTCGTTAGAATCGCGGCCTTGTTCCAAAAGCTCGAGGGAACCTTGACAAGTGGAAGGTTGAACAGACCTACGTTTGTGTCAGTGATTTTGGCAATTTCGTCATTTCCTCTTTGCTCGAACCAATACCATAAGTGCTTCGTTTGAATGTTTGCTTTTAACTGTGTAGATGTAATATCGTCGAGCTCGCCGTTTTATCTGGGGAAGTGCCTCGGGAAGATTGCGATTGGAAACCGGACGGTCAAGTGCTTTATTCTTTAGTTTGCCCTGAATAGAACCCCGGATAATCGAGACCTCGAAGCCGCCCTTTCACTGGCCGCGACCACTCCGAAACTGCTACGAGCCATCCTCCGCGTTTGCAGTCTTTAATCGAGGATCTCGATAAAATTTAATCGACCGGGATATTATCGTTTCAATAGAAACACGGCCCGCGAGGTGTATTGTGCCTCGATGCCAATAGATACTTCTCCGTTTTTGTATCGCCGACCCGTTGACCTCGAATAATGTATAGTTAAAACGACAAAATACTGTATTTCTTCCTGTCCAATGATTTACCGCCTATAAATTCGCCGTTCCGAGTTCCCAGCGCCGATGGGTTCGGCATAATCTTCGCGTTCGTAACTCGTTAGAAACATAGTCAGAAATGTATGGTCGGCGTGTCTGATTCAGTGGGAGGTTCCGTCGGTCGTGTGAAATCCAGGATAAGGATAGAACTTTGGTCGTATGAGATTTCGAAGATGTTTGAAAACGAGGCGACGAAGGATCGTTTACGAAGCCGAGTGTCTTTGTTCGCGTGCAACAATGCAATTTCGGAGACGACAGCGACGAGCGAGCGGGGCCCCCGGGGGCGTTAGCCATTCTCTTGCAAATCGTTTACGCGTGAGAGACTTGCCCGTTTCTCGGTCTAGAAATTCGAAGTACGAAATTGCCGATAATCCGCGCTCGTTTACTGAACGCGAGTGACGAAGCTTGAAACGATAATTGCCGCGGACGTCGGAACGTTCCGAGCTACGCCGTGGCGGAAGAAGAAATCGGCCGCGGCGATCTGAATGGGACTGTCATCGGCGAAGAAATGAAAGCAACGCGTCTAGCGGCGGACACGTGCGAGCGAGCATAACGATGGAGACAATGCGCATCGGTGAAAGTTTTCCACGCGAGCGAGATGCAAACGCGATCCGTCTCGAATATGCAACCGGGGAACAAAAATCGCCCGTGATTTCGTCCAGGGAACGTTGCCAGCCGATTTCCACTTCGCGCTCTCGTTTGGTAAAACCCGGTGACAATTTTATCTGGGACGATTGAATTATTTTCAGAGGATGGGAACGTGGAACCATCCACTAATTGCAATTTGAAACACTCGCCGGTCGAAACCAGAATTATGAGGACACTTCCGGACGCAAGCCTTTTTATGTTTTTACTTTTAGAAATTCAATCACTCCAGGTACTTGGCAGTTCAACAATAATGGACGAATTTGCATGGACGGGGGAATTAGGGTTGAAGAGTTCCCTGGCGATCGTCTCGGGGAGGCTTCTGGTCGGTTCGTGAATTGGGTCGAGGCAATTTCTATGCAAAGTATCGACAGGGCGAGGCGAATTCTCGAGCGGAATCTAATCAGTGTGCAGGAGACGTCGCCGCGTCGTCGCGACGTCGCCCTTGTGTACGTGCGCGTCGACTCGGTGAAGCTGGCTGACGTCGTTCCAGCCTCGCTAGTTTGTGGTACGAGGAAATCTCATTATCCGACCGACAGCCGTGGATTCCAGTTGAAATTTTATCGAACACCCTGTCCATCATTCAAACACACATACGTATTATATATAATTCGGAAATGTATCTTCCATCGATGGAATTCTGCTCCTAACTCGCTCGAGGATTTATAGTCCATTAGAGCATTCAAGCGATAACATTTTAATGCCTCACAGAGTAAATTATCTAATGCCTGAGAACTGCTAATTGCTTTGAATTCCGAAATAAGAACTTGGCTCGGTACACGACACGCGACAGTGGGACCTAAAGGAGTCCCCAGTTTGCGGAAACAACGTCATCGCGTATTTCACGAGGTCGCGTGTACCGAGAAGGTGAGGATTTATCGACCTTGAAGCAAGACTTCCGTGTGTAGCACTCGGACTTGTGTATGATCACCGTGAACCGTCGTACAGCGAACCGCAGAAAATTGTACGATTTTCATGTAATTATCTACAGCATTCTCGCAATCCGGTGGAAACCGCACGATCCGCGGTGGTCAGATCGCTTGACACGAATTACATCGTCTCTAGAGGTTGTCCAAGAAACCCAAATTTATTTAACCGTCGACAGATCGACTTTTACGGCTGTCGGCCGAGAAAGTTTGCACGGCCTCAAAATCGTTCTCCATTAAGAAGACAATTACTCGGGAACAATGATACGTCTCGAATCGCGGTACACCGGCAATTAATCGCGAGCGTATCTCAGATCTCAAAGGATCATAAAGCTCGCGGGCACACACACACACACACACAAATTGAAGATCTAACAAAGTTGCTATTCGACAAGAGAAAGCAACGCCGTATTTCCGTACGGGAAAAATTGGAGTGGAAACTATTATTTCTCCGGACTTTATCTGAGGGCGGCTCGCTAATTTCGAGGCGTGTTCGACACTGAAGCCTCTCGTGCTCCGTCGAGCGTCCCCGGTCTCTGCCTTCGCGATGCTGTACGCAAGAGGCTCGAAATGTTAAACTTCCTCTCTCTTTCTCCTTTTCTTCCACGTTTCCACGCTTCCAAGTAGCAACATATTTTAAGGCTGCCAAAGGAAAATAATGCGTTCCGCGCGAGTTGCCACGGCCGCACATGCCTCTGGTCGCTGCAGTCCGCGCCACGCGCACCGCCTCGTATATTTCGCGAACGCCACGGGAAAAATACACCACCGTCTCGTGAGTCCTAATAAATTTCGGTAGTGTTCGCAATAATTGTGCGGAAAAATTATACGAAATATACTAACATGCAACCTTCAAAAGCAATCAAATTAACTTGGTCAAACTCTTATAGTGGATCACCTAATATCTCAAGAGGCATGTTGTAACGCCTACGCATTCAATTATTCTACCTCTCAAGAAAGTCCTCCTACTGAAGGACAGCCCACTCGATTTCTCTGAGTACGCTTGACAATAGCGCAAATGGAACAGGGACCAAGTCTGCTCCTACAAAGTTATTAGCATGCATAATCTCAGCCCTGAATGACGTGTCGTTTTCTCTAAGACTGTTCAGTGCACATTTTTTTTTTTTTTATGCGTTTCTCCGATAAACGAAGTTCGATAGAATTTTTCATTGAGACGTGATCGACAGCTCCCTTGGCAATTAATCACCGGCACCCAACGCGTTTTGCGTCACTGCCCTTCGCTCGGAAACTGTACTCGACCTGCAGTTCCATTAACGTCCTGAATGAACGATCGAGATGCATCTAGCTAATAATAGAAGAGCGACGTTTCCGATTAAAGGGCGAGCGTGTGTCGTGTTACAAGGTTGAAGAGCTCGTTTCCTACATAGGTACTCCTGTATGGAGCTACTCCAGAATCGTGCGCCAGGTAAATTAGTCGATGTACCGAGGCAGAGTCACGTGGAACAAGTAGTTACCCGACGATGTTACTGGGTCAGTTAAACACGGATAGTTTGCGAAGTTAACAACCGGGTATATATTAATCTTAGACGTCCTATTACCGAATCTTAATTACGATCGACTTAAGTAGAATCCTTCAAATTTCCCCGTTTCCGATCTGACACACCCAATCAGAACTCCATTAACAATCAGCTGGAAAAGAAGTAACCAGGCCAACCTAATCGAAATCTAATTTAGCGACTAATATCGTTTCCCGTATCGCAATTCCTCGATCATTTCCTCAAAGGAAAATTCTACGCGCACTTCTACTTTCCACAAGCGTCCCGCAAATGAACAACGAAGTTCCTTGGCAAATCAAAAAGAATCCTTTATATCTGATGAATTCTTGACGAAATCGCAAGGGCTACTTCGATTTGCAATAATCTTCGATTTGAAACAATCGGCATCGAGGCACGTAAGTAGGTAAGTAGGTAATCGGAGATATTGCCCGAGTCGTTTTACAATAATCAATGTGTTTTTTTTCCGCGGGGCTAATGCGCTGCGGTCTTCGCCTTCTCACGCCTCGCGGACTCACAAATTGGCTGCACGAATCGAATCTAATGCGCCTGACTAGGCAGGGCCGGCGCGAAGCAGGTTCAATGCGTTCGTCGGAACCTGGCCCCGCGGTCTACGAAATCTCGTTTGAACGAAAAAAAACTCAATCAATTTTTATGATGTAATTAAACATTCTGAGGNATTGTGAGATTTAACTATAGGATTTAAATGTGTATTCTGACCCCGCAAAATTTTTGAACCGGGCCCCGCAAATGGTGACACCGGTTCTGCGACTAGGCTTAGCCAATGTCTTCTTTAATCTACCCTCGATTCTGAATTACGAATTAGAACGATCCATAAACAGCGGACGATTTCCCGCGTTGGTATTAAGACAGAAATTTCAATCTGTTTATCGTATAACGATCCGTTCTAAATTCGCCCTCGATTCCACTTCGCGAAGAGTACTCGCAAACAGCAACGGGCTCGAGTTTCCATTAAGAGGCCGAGCAAACGAGAATCCAATATCCGAAGTGCAATCTAAGGGATTAAAGCGGGAAACAAGCATTTCGATCGATCCTCACTTGAGAATAAACGAAAAACCAAAATGGTGTCGTCTTCCGTTTCGAACCATTTTATGAACCTACGAAGAACGTGATCCATTTGATGAGAATGGTCTGTAATTTACTTTTACTATCGCATTTTAAGGGAATGAAAGTTTGGACAATGAGGCGTTTCACCAGGCTTCCGGCGTCGCTTTTCCCAGTAGGTTTGTGCGTTCTAGCGCGGGCGGCTTCCGGGAACAAGTGAATCATTTCCCGCGCAAGACTCGCTTTTAATCAAACTTTCTAGGGAAATTCGATCGCTATCGCTTGGGAAACGCAACCAGATGCGATTAAACGTTCCGAGAACAATTTTAACGGTTAACCGGTGCGAATTTCTCCCATTAAAGAGAAATTTCGATTATCGCTCGTCCGATCGATGCCCGTTCGTCATTTAAAAAACGACAGTTCGCGTTCCGTGGAACCGCGGACGACGTTATTTGCTCTGGCGAAGCGGTGGCCGGAGTACAAGGGTGTGTAAAGAACTAACTCGTCAGAGAGGAGCGATGTCTCTGATAACAAAGGGTCGGGCAAACGTGGGATGGGGTAAAAGTTAGAGGGAACTTTAAAGCGAGGTGGCACAGTATAAAAGCAGTTTGCTCGAGGACGAGTAGAAGCAGCTCGAAGTTCTCCTCCAGCGTTGGAACAATACTTTAACCACTTTGTGTGCTTATGCTCTTCGAGCTGCTTCCCGTCTCGGTCGACCAATTTGCAGGGATCGGGTAAAGAAAGCGAGTCGAGAGAAAGAGAGAGAGAGAGAGAGAGAGAGAGAGAGAGAGAGCAACTTCCTTGCAAATTAACGTAAACTGTGAGAGAGAGAATGGGCGAGGGCGCAGAAACAAGGAAAGCTGGGTGTAAAAAAAAAGACTGATCTTTAACGAACAGAAAAAATGGCACAGCTTTCCTCGTCACCCAAGGGGTACTGTGCCGGAACGCGTTCCCGTTTTTTTACATGGCGGGGATCCCCAGGAGGCCTACACCATGCCACACGATTTTCTCGTGTGGAACAAAACGAACAGAAGGAAAAACGTGTGTAGAATGTTGGGACATTAAAACAGATCCTTAAGCCCAGGATCAGCATCTCGTGGAATCTCGTAAGAAGTTCATCTTTTCGATTTTAGAAACTGATCGTCGCGCGGACGGTTCCGGTGGTGGGTTTATCGTGATCGCCGGCGAATACCAATTGCGAGTGTTCCGTTCAGGTGGTGAAAGTTATTCCGATGTGCATTTCTCAATTACGCGACACGTCCAGTTGCACTTTCCATCGCCCGAATTAGAGATCAATTAAATCGATCGAATCTCTTGCATTCTAGACCGCTTGGTATCCGGGGAGATTACGATAGCGGTGCGCTCTTCGAGGCGTCGAGAATTCCACCGTTTCCGTTCTGCATGTACAAAAAGCGTGAGTATCGATATTATCGTGCGACGCCTCGATAGAGCCACTGCGAAGGGTGACACTGAGATCGTCCGTGTGACCACCAGGTGCGAGGAACTTATCGCTAAACACCGGCGCATGCGAGACGCATGTGCCGGTGCGTGTAACCCTTAATCGCTAAGTCACTTAAATGAACTACCTGGTTGCATACCTTTCCGATGGAACCGAATACGTATAGAAATCGGAAATGAAGGTAAAGGTTACCACTAAAACGCGTTCGAGGCCGAGGGTGCGCGACAACACCGATCACCGGAACTCAAAGAGGTGGCCCGACTGGCGGAAACAGGATCTTTTATACCCTGGAAATTATTGATTTTCATCGGCAGCCCCGCGCCAGCTTCGGCGCACGTGCGCTGCTCCTTGCTACGACTGCGCACGTCCAACCCACCGAACCCACCACCGAGAAAGAAAACGCTTTTTCAACAGACTCAACGGCCAATTTTTCCACTTTCCAGGCAACTTTACGCACGCCGGAGACTCATTTTCTCAGAACGGCTGGCGACGAAAAGACTCTAACTAATATACATTCAAGTTAATCGTGTTAACACTAATTATTATTATTATAAAACACTGATTCTTTTTACCGAACACTTGCGATTTTATATAATTGAAAAGATGTGATTGTAAATCTTATTTAACGTTAACAACAAGCGTGTTGTTCAAATAAAACGCAATGAGAATTAACGATCAAATAACTTCGTTCTATGTTCTCGTAGACGTAGAATTCTGCTGCGACTTAAGCGTACTTATGTGCGTCGCATTTTAGGTTTCCCGGTTTAATGAAGTCATTTTTCAAGGAAGCAATTTCTGCGAACGGGTGGGCGAGTGCTCATGCAAATTTCAAAACGTGTACTCATTTAATTAAAACTTGCCGAGGAATTTAATACTCGTAAAGTGAATTTCATATAAATAAAGGCGTTTCGCATTTGCTAAAATACAGGAATGACGAACGAAGTAAAGTTTTACAACCGTTGCGAGCGAGGAGAATGAGAAGTCGGTAAATAATTTTGAAACGAGCTCAATGAAACGCAATAGTGGTACCCTCTGCCGGATACTACTTGAGAACGTTCTCCAGTAGTATCCGCCTATATCCATAAATTAGACTCGAAAATGCGTAATGCGTGATCGATACTTTAGATCATGTTTGGTCAAGGATAGCGAAATAAAAATCAATCCAAAGGGAATGACCAATTGACCACTGACTTTAAGTACCCACCCCCTAGAATTGGTCATCTGGTCATTCCCTTTGGAATGGCCCAAAAATCCTGCCCGATTATCGATAAATGCGGGAGTAAACGAATATGCAAATTAGGAGCCGAGCGTTCTAAGAATCGGCCAATCATTTTGCGCAGACGTCACTTTGCCCAAACCGTCGATCGCCGAGAGGGTATAAATACAGAGCCCCGACGCTCCTCGAGTCATCGAGTCACTCGATCGGCCGATCGAGACACCCCTTTTCCCATCCTATCCCAGTATGCGTGTGCGGGTACCGGTACTAGTGTGCAGTATGCCTTCCTAAATTCCACCCTATAAC